TAGTTCTGTCATTTGTTGTATATAACATACTAGTTTAAATGTCCCTACACAATATTCAGAAATATACAATTTTTGAGTAAACAGTCGTTTACAATGACTTCGTTTCAGTTTCCATAGTTTTGAATGCATAATTATTATTCAGATGGCCAAAACAACAAAACGTATATAAATATATAAATTAAACAATGTCATATTTTAAGATTGTGAACTTTTCCATCAGTTAAGGATTAAGTATATCTAGGATACGTCATAAAAACAATTACGTAAGAAGTAAGAGTTTATTTTATATAGTGTAAGTGTGAAGTGGCCCAACCGTGGGCCACAGTAAGCGGAAAGAATAAATATACCGCTTTTGGATACATAAGTTCGGTTTTCTAAAGTTAATCCTGATGTCATTCGCTATATAGAGAAGCCCGAATCTTGCTCTTTTAGATAGATTGTTCAGGACTGGATTCAGATAACTTAATTTGGTATAAACCGATCTCTTTGCTCAAAGATATAAATAATAATCAGACTTTCTTTAATTCATAATTTGTTACAATATACAATTCTGACCAGAAAATAAACGCTAAATTCTTTTTTCATATCTAGTCAGTTTATGGATGCTGAAGATATATATATCTTTTTCGACTCTACTTAGTTGTAATATGTCTTCACTTCAAAACATTTATCATTTTTATTTTTGGTGACACCGCTTCATCAGGTATATATTTGATGCTTGACTTTCGATATGATAGCATATTAATAATTCGGGGAAACTTAAAATCAGGAAAATACATTTTGTAGTATTTTTTCACATCTGATCGTTAAGACAACAAGTTAATTGAAATATCAGCTTTATAAACACTTTGATGAAATTAGAAAATTAAACTTTGAAATTTTTATAAACTTTGAGTAACAATCTGGATCAAGAAAATACGACCTATTTGTTTAGATTCAGCAGTAAATTCTGATCAGCCTCTATTAGTAGATAGTCACAATAGGGCTATTTTGTCATATCATATGAAATCAATTGATGGATCATGGCTGGAAGTGGATGTAACGTTTATTCTGTTTAGGACTAGTCAACTTGATGTGCCAGTATCTCAATGTTGATGTACATACTGAAACTTGAACCCAGTACTTTTAACTCCAAAAATCAATGAGTTGTCCGTATTCTGAAATTTACTGCTAGCCACGGTCCCTCTATAATATAAATCATTAAAAACTATTTTGTTTCTTTTCTTATTCTATTTATTTCAATCTTCTGCTGGCAGGCATTGTAATTACAAATTCTGCTACATACTACTTAAATTTGTCAGAGTAAGCAGCATGCACCAAACTATTTATCTGTTAAGACTTTCAGTATAGGGTTGTGGAAATTGTTGATTTTTAATCGGGATCATTAGGCAATTAATGTTAGACCACCATTGAAAACCTGGAAACACTGGATATGCATTTCTTCTAAGTATGTGACTCTCCAGCAGTATATATACATGATCTCATACGGGACTCGAACCCAGGATCTTCGGTCTCATGCGTGAACGCTTAACCTCTAGATCATTGAGTTGGTATTTAACCGTGTTAATGTCTGAGTTAACATTTCATAAAAAAGTAATTTTTTGAGTTCCACTAATCAAAACACAATGTAAATCAAATGTTACTACTGATATAACTAACGGCACTAATAATATGATATGCAATAAGTGTTTATTATATTACATCCATGTATTAGTACATTAATTATATTTCCACTTTAATCAAACAAATAAATCAACTAAGTTCAATGTTATAAACGGAATGTTCTTTGATATTCTTCTCTTTTATTTTCCCAAGAAAACAAAAAGTACCTTTTTTTATCCATTTGTTTACTTCAGATGGATTACTTCAAATAAGGAAGTCTAGTATAAATTTATTGGTTTCTATCAATCATTTTTCCTAAATTCTTATCATTATTTTGATTGAATATATCACGATCATAATCAAATTCAAATGTATTTCTTTTTGTGTGTATAATTTATCCATTTATTTGTAATGCTTACACAATGAATTTGAATTTTCCCTCCAGTTTAAACAACAACAACAACAAATAAACAATGACGGTAACTATAAACGTTAAGTATTAGTTTACAGTTTGACAAAAACAGAAGAAAAAAAAGGAGAATATGCTTATCTTTTTCTTATTATTATTTGTCCGAGAAAAGACATAAACACATTCTATCCATAAATATTTATTCACATGCTTGGTTAGTTTTCTATAGATAAGATTAGCAATCTGAATATGTATGCTTTGATATATCATAGATTGGGTTTCGGTAGTGAGAAAGATTATTATATTTACTAACTTAATAATGAGCAACATTTATAAGAATATTCTTAGACTGTTATTGCAATGAATATGTTTATTATTATTATTTTATAGATAACATTCGTTAATAAAAACCTTTGTTTTTATAAATTAAGTATATAAATATTTAATAGAAATATTCCTTTTATAGGGTATGATCTGTGTTGACAGGAAAAAAACAATTACGGTGAGAAATCCGGAAACTTCAGAGGTCTTGATAGCATAGAGACGTTATTTTTTAAGGCTGTAAAACGAATAATAGATTACGGGTGATAGTCAGTCAGTCGGTTATAACCTAGGACCAGGTACATATATGCATTGGTCCATGTTGTCATACTTCATTAGCACAACAAGATGAGCACCGAATTCATAAAAGTAGTTAATTCAATGGTGGTAATATATTAAAGAAGATTACATATAAGGATATAGTACAGGAAGAAAGAATTAGTTCGCTGAAATAAAGGTAGAAGGCAATTTTAATCTCATAGTTTAAGGGAAGACAGAGAGCGTATACACCTACAATATTGTGATCGATTTAAGCCATGTCACCAAGAGTCTCCAACCATGGGTTACGATAGTCACGCGGACCTCAACCAAGTAGTCTGCATCCACCAACATGGCTCAGATCAAAAGTTAGTGACTTCAAGCACTGATGCCACGTTTTAGTTTGGCCGCCCCTAAATTTATTTTGACCATCTCCAACACTAGTCAGTACTGTGCGTCACGGTAATCGGGATCTAGGCATACGTACCACGTGGCCCAACCATCTCAGTCGACGAAGATTCAGAACCTCAACAACTAATTTACCATCATCCTCTAATACCTTGTGTCTAACCTAACTATTTCTTACCCGGCGATCCCAGCAGATGAGAGCAATCCGATCACAGTGAGTGAGTTTTATTTTCGTATGCTCTCGGTAGTAAATATTTCTTGGTGAAGAACTTAATAAATTATTAATGGCAGTAAAGAACTTTACATTTCTTTGTCTACTGTTTATGTCTTCGGTTTATCTTTTGTACTAGTACAACAATCCCATATTGAGCTTCAACTGTGGTCTGGTATCTAAATGCTCACTCTCGACTCGAATTCATATGGTTCGATTCCTGGGACTTTTTGAGAAATCCTATGCTTGGTCAAAAGTTGTTCAAATCTTTCCGATTTCCAATGATATTCTAGCTGTCGTCAACTTGTGAATAAAAATAGATGTGTCAGCCATTAGATGAGCGCTTTACTTAAGATATATATATATATATATATATATATATCGGAAGTCCTCAAGATTTCGTATGATCACATATGGTCACATATTGAGAATGTAAAGGAAAACTAGAAGAACATAAGCAGAATTCCTAGGGATAGAAAAGTGAAGTAAAATATCTTGTTCATATATCTGAATGTTTTATTTTGTACCTGGGTAAATGTTACATTTAATATTTTAAATTTGCTTCAATCAACTATTCTTATATGCTAATAACATGATTTCAGCTTGTGAGTTTAATACAAAGCTCAGAAAACAAATAGGTAATAAACACTTTGAAATTGACATTGAATTATGACAATGGCTGGTATACTTTCTTTTTTTTATCTTTTCACCGAATAAATGATGGATGATTAGATTGGGGTTTATGGATCAAATGTATGTAAGATGAGAAATTTCAATAGAGAATTTCGCTACATAACATTTTATATACAAGTGTACAGCGTTGAAGAGAGCATTTATTGTTGCTATGATCGTTTTCATTAATAATCTTACATTATGACATTAAAACTAATAACATCCTTGATAAAATACCCTTCATAATGATGTAATCAAATTCTGGAAAAAAATTACTTCCTGTTGGTCTACCACAATTAGTGAAGGCAAGTAATTTGGAAAAATGAACAAGTACTACCATGAAATCAATAGAAAGGTCTACTCATATGTAAGTTTTTAAACAAGTAATCTGACAAATATAGTGTATTAAACTTTCATAGGCTAAATAATACTTATTTGATGGATTTTAACAAACACAAGTATTAAGTCTAAAGATTTAATAATATTCTTATTTGTGTGCCGAAGTTTATTTGAAGTTAGGTATTTTAAGTCTATTAACTTCATAACACTCAATATTTTTATATCAACATCTTGAACTCAATATGAATCAATCAAGACAAGTTTTATCACTGAATTGAGCTCAGCTGTTAGGATCATCGGGAATCAAGAACCACTAGTAAGAAAACTCGTATTACTTTAAAACTGTATGAAGCCATAGCCGTAATTAGAATAAAGAACAGGATTTCTAGTTTAAACGGTAGGGTCTATACTATTCATACAAAGTTAGAGGTCAATTACATATTCAGTATTATTCAGTTTTAAGAAAAGTTCATCAAAGTTCTAGTGGACAGCAGAGATCTAAATAGTGAAACGGTTAATAAAATATGAAAAACGATCAGGGACGCGCTATTTCATATTCGATCCAAAATTTTAAACATAAATCATATGGCTCCGGCCTAGTAAAATCATTTCAAAATAAACTATCACTTTGTAATAAGCTTTTTAAAGTTCAAAGTTATTGGTCATTAGTTTTTACTGTTTTTTGAGTATCAATTATGAAAATAAAAGAGAGGCTACATCTGATGAGTTAAAAAGCATCTATGAATAATTGTATATATTCATATTAAAACACAAACCTACCTAACCAAACCAGATGGCATATAACTAATTAATGTAATTGCATCAGCTAATGACATTGCAATCATATAAGCATAAGCAGCTCCTGAAAATTGTGGTCTACAAAATATAATCACATTCAATATATTCAATATAAATCCAATAAAACAAATTATAGGTTGAATATAAAAATAAATAATAAATTCTGTTAAAGAAATTGAACAATCATTAAACTTTTTATTATTTAATTGATCACTATCATTAAATAATAATGTTAAGTTCAATAAAGTCTTTTCTTGATGTTCATTATTAGTTGTATTTATAGGGTTATCAGTATTTGCATGACAGCATAGTAACAATAAAATTGTTACATATGATATTATATCTTTATTAGGCTGAAAATTTAAACTATGAATTTTATATCCAGCTAATAAAGTTGTTAAAGTCATAACAACTCTAATCTATTTTGAATAAGTTGCTATGTAAGATGAATATGTATAGGATTATAAGTCATAATATAATAGAGTGCATAAATTGGATTTATAGAAGATGTTAATTTGATTTAAAGGCCATAGATACTATTTCCCATATCTTTTTTTAAAAATTAATTTTATTCAATATGTTTTAGGATAATATGGAAACTTTAGCAACCGTATTATTGGTTATTTCCGAACTGTCATCTTATCATCAAGTAACCAATCATACTTAAGTAAACTTGAAAAAGATAACACATAAATAAATTATTCGTCCATATTAAATGAATTTTTATTGTCTTTTTATAGATCAAAAAATTATAAAACATTTGACCAGGTTTATTTAAGATTAAACTACCTTGGTATAGCCATAAAAGATTTTGAAAAAAAGTGCTCCTGTATGTGTGTGATAAGGAACTAACTAATGAATTAAGTACCTTAAATACGTTGTCAGTAGGAAGGAATGACGTCGATTAAGTCAGTCACTCAGTGGCAACTATATATGTGGAGTGACTTAATTTGTTACAAATAAAGTCTTGGTTTATAGTTGTTTTTATATTGTCGTTCAAGACAAGACGACTACAAGCATTTAGAATTCGAAACTTTTAAGCAGCACTGAATAAGAGGTTTGGTAACTCAGGATAAACTAAACTAGGTGTAGCACAGTCATGCAGAAATGACATTATATCGTCTTAGTACTGAATCGTCTAGATAAACTGTTGTAAAAAATGTTAAATTATGAAATTTAATGATACTGTGCGGGACCTTGAGCGTATACATCTGAGTACAAGTAAACAACGGTGTTGAGAATCTCTAAGGTTTTCTGATTTCGCTAACGTATGCAGCTGATACCGGTTCATCATAATAACACTTTTTACAATGAGCAGTGATTCTAAGTTGTTTTACGGAGACTAATACGTGATGGGAGAGAAAATCAGTAGTTCATCTTGAACATTTGAGATGGTTAGTAGAGTGAAAATAAGTTATATAATACAGTTGTGGATTGGTTGAGGTTAGACGTTAACACCATTGGATGCCGGCTCAATGGTCTAGAGGTTAAGCGTTCGCGCGCGAGGCTGAAGGCCCTGGGTTCGAATCCCGCAAGCGGGTTTTGTGGATACGAACTGCTGAGGAGTCCCACGATAGGATAAAACGGTCGTCCGGTGCTCCCTGGTTTCCATTGATGGTCTAACATCAATCAGTTCATGATCTCAATCATAATACATTTGTTATTGTTTTTTTGAAAATCAAGAGTGAAAAACCTGAATCTTCATACTCTCTAATCATCTTTAAAGATCTGACTTTAAAACAATCATGAAAAATATCTGGCTTAAAACGTTTATTTGTTTTACGTGCAACTGTATTTGCGAATGTTGTAGTAAATGGATCTTTTCAGCTTTGATTATTTGAAGTTACTTCAAATCATAGGCAGAATTTAGCTGAACAAATGTGAAAAATGAAGGGGCTATTGACATTTGTTTCATCCTAACACGAAACTCCATAGTAATAAGCACCCATGGCCTTGTCAGTTGTACACGTTTTAATTTAGAATTATTGAGTTTAGACCCAACTCTTCATTCCTCAAACTTAAGTCATTTAACGATACTGCATGATCATCGTCCATCACAATCGTTTGTGATACCAGATATTTTGAACTCCAGAGGTCTCAGATTCCCTCTGCAACTGCATTCTTGTTTAAGTTGATTACTAGTGAGCACATGTTACAAAATAACATTATATATAAATGAAAATTATCTAATGACTGAATTAAATAAATATTTTCCCTTAAAATATATTTGTCATGTTAGTTTGAAGAGGTTAAGTTTATTTGAAAATAAGACAAAGACAACTGTTTAATCACTAAACTATTCATAAAATATACAACTAGATCATTTACTTTAATACTCTTTGTCCTTAAATATTCTATGAAATTTTTTTAAATTTATGAAACGGCTTTTTACCATTTTGTTTGGACAGTATCAGCTGTCAGCATACAAATAAAAAAGAAATCATATTTTAATCTAAAGCAATTAGTCCGTTTTATAAATTTCGATAGAGCAATTAGAAAACGGAGTTGATCTTGTTTTGTCCTCTATATTAAATAGCAACATTTTGACCTCATTCCTCCCAAGTTATTGTTATTCCAATGACTTTGATTCTTAACAGAAAGAAAAATATGTTTTTGAAACATTCTTTAAAACAATATACATGTTTATATAAGCAGATGTTTTTGAAACTGATTGATTAATTAAGTTCTGATAATATGATGAATGGAACTTTACTCGCTATGCTTTCAACATCATTAATTTAGTTACGATTTTAGCATCATCAGAAAACAGTTAATGAAATAAAGTTTAAAAGACGACGTGAATAGAGATGATAGTGTCATTATAAGATTTAATGAATAATATATTACTGAAAACAAATCAACCGGAGTATGTATGACTACCTTTAGTGACATAAGGATTGTGAGAACTAAGTCATTTTATATTTGAGGAACCTAATGAAAACACAACATGATATGACAAATCAAGTAAGAACTTACAAAATGAGATAAATTTAAAAATCTATCCAATTTTCATTCTGAATTGTTTTGCTTGAATCTTCCCATTGAGGCTTAAGACTGCAATCGATCAGTCTCTTATTGACATATGTGCATACTGTGCGTATTGTCTCGATATTGCCTTAATTCACAAGCTTTTTGTAAGCAATGATGGATAGTGGCTACAAGTGAAATCCAGGACGCGCACTTCGTTCTATTTGGGACTTGTCAGATGGATGTACCTGCATCTCAGAGTTGCCTTTCACTCTGGGACTCAAACCCAGTACCATTCGCTTCAAACGCCATCGTGTTACCCACTCAGCCACAAAATGATCAATTACGGTCTTAAACTTCAATGAGAAGATACAAGCAAAACAATAGCAAGTGAATTTAAATTCACTCCATTGCACAAACACATAGCTATCAGGACTCAGTAACTGAGTGGATGACGCGGTAGCGTTTGAAGCGAATGGTACTGGTTTCGAGTCTCAGAGTGAGCATCAACTCTGAGATGCAAGTATATCCAACTGACAAGTCTCAAACAAAATGAAACGCGCGTCCAGGATTCTATTGCTAGCTACTATCCGTGTTTGCCTAACCAATTTTCCTTGTAAAATCAAATATAAATTTAAAATGTAAAAATCGAAAGCAATTTCATAGCTCATAACACCATTCGGTCATAAAGCACTAGCAAATGAATTATATGATACATCTAAAATAAATCATTACGTTGAAAATTGATTATCATATCTCACATAACATAAATTATTCTTTAGAATACGTATAATACATATTTCAACTTTAGTTAATTTTGCCATTATCGAGATCTTGAACAATGCGAATAAACGTAAAGTGTCCTTAATCACTCTTATTCTGTTAAACAAATTTCCAATTGAACTAAAATGCAACGTATGTAGCAATAAGAACTCAGTTCTTTGTACAGACATTCAGTACAAATATATTATCAAGTGTTAAGTTAGGTCATAAAATCGATCTTAATGCGTCACGTTTTGGTCTTGTATAAAAGTTGTCTAGGGCGAATGAATAGGTTTACTGAAGCCTTAGCCATACGAAGGTTTAAACTCCTTATATGTGTTCAAATATAATAGACACTTGCATTAAAATGAACCTGAAAATGTTGAGTTATTGTCCAAAATGGTTTGTTTGGCTTTCCCCTATTATTTTTATTTCTTACCTACCAGTTTCCTCGGTTGACGTTTATTTCCGAAAACCCTGAAAGTCTTTAATCGTTGGACACTTTAGCTATATCGTTGACTCAGATCTTAGAATCTTCTGGAGATTTCAGTTTTGCCTCTTTTTAGACACTTTACATTTGGAGGACAAATAAAATTGGAGCTATGGTAAATTAAGAGGATGATCCAGTATAGTGATTAAAATGAGGGCCAGAAACATGTATACAACCAATCCCAAATTTGAAAGCTGACCATCTTGATCTAGAGACCCTCCATCATTACCACATACAGTTTGCTGATTAAGGAGTGAAAACTATGGTCAAACTGTTTGAAGGTGATATGCACTTAAGTATATTGCATTTAGTCATTCTTCGCGCAATGTCAAAACTTGATGACCTTAGTAGTTTAAATCGGATATTTATTGAACAGGCTATGGATACTCTACTCTACTCTATCTTGTAGATTATAAATTTCTATGGAAGTTTGTTATAACCCAAAGCCGCCAATCAGAAGCAGCGAATTATCAATCGGATCAAGGACGCGTAAAACACGTGCGAGCAGCCTAGAGTCCTGATTGGTCCTGCTTCCCGCCTAGCCCAGCCAGTTAAGTCCGGAACACCAGTCTCAGCCTCTGCAATATGAATCATTATATTTCAAACATACTGAGTTTATATACCAATCAAACAGACCACAACGTAGCATAAAATAGAAAATAACATCAGTACAAAATTTGGACAAATGTGGCTGTGAATGTATGAGGCAGTGACTAATAGACAGGGTATAATTCAAGAGTGGTAAAACGTATAATAATGGTTCATAGATCTAAATAAAACTTAAATAAGAGGAATATGAATAGTTTAGTTATTTAACAACTATACGATAAAAATATACGTTTATTACTGGTCCATAAAAGGAGCCCGAAATTACCATTCATTATTTTTATCGGGACCTGACAAAGTTAACTTCCATTAAGTATCAATTTTGTATAAATATGTTGCAACTTACGGACTAAAAATCAAACGTTCATTCATGCTCACGGTACATCTCTCAATGGTTCGAAGAATTGAAATTATCAGCAAAAATATAATTTTTTTCTTAGTTTAACTTACATCAATTTCTTTCTCAACCTCACAAGACTACTAGGCTGAAATCAAAATTAACTGTCACAGTTTTTGAAATCTTCAAATCAAATATTCACATTGAATAGAAATGTAATAAATAAGGTTAGTGTGTTGTTTCAATGAACTAATGATTCCTTTGTACTTGTTTAATGCTTGATTTCGAATTCCGAATACAATACATTCGTTTGTGCTTATCTAGTACTTCTTGATCCGATTACATTATTTCTGGGATTCTTAGTTTATACTATAATTCAAATA